CAATTCTATAGACACTATTCTACTAGATGGAGAAAGAGAGAATCCTTTCTAACTCAATCTATGAAGTCAGTATCACCCTAATACCAAAACCAGGAAAGGACATCAACAAAAAAGAAAACTACAGACCAATATATCTGATGAACATATATGCAAAAGTCCTTAATAAAATACTAGCTAACCAAACCCAACAACATATCAAAAAGATAATTCACCATGATCAAATGGGGTTTCATACCAGGGATGCAGGGATGGTCTAACATACGCAAGTCAATAAATGCGATACACCACATAAACAATTAAAAACAAAAATCACATGATCATCTCAATAGACACAGAAAAAGCATTCAACAAAATCCAGCATCCCTTTATGATTAAAAATCTCAGGAAAATTGGCATGCAAGGGACATACCTCAATGTAATAAAAGCCATCTATTATAAACCCACAGCCAACATAATACTGAATGGAGAAAGTTGAAAGCATTCCCCATGAGAACTGGAACAAGACAAGAATGCCCACTCTTAGCACTTCTCTTCAACATAGTACATGAAATCCTAGCCAGAGCAGTCAGACAAGAGAAAGAAATAAAGGGCATCCAAATCAATAAAGAGGAAGTCAAACTGTCACTATTTGCTGATGACATGATTGTTTACCTAGAAAATCCTAAAGACTCCTCCAGAAAGCTCCTAGCACTGATGAAAGAATTCAGCAAAGTTTCTGGATACAGAATTAAAGTATACAAATCAGTAGGCCTTCTATACACCAACAGTGCCCAAGCTGAGAATCAAATCAAGAAATCAACCCCTTTACAATAGCTGCAAAAAATTAAAATACTTAGGAATATACCTCATCAAGGAGGTGAAAGACCTCTACATGGAAAACTACAAAACTTTGCTGAAAGAAATTCATATATGATACAAACAAATGGAAGCACATATGAAACCCTATCTCTACTAAACATACAAAAAAATTAGCTGAGGCAAGAGAATCACCTGAACCAGGGAGTTGAAGGTTGCAGTGAGCTGAGAACGCACCACTGCACTCCAGCCAGGTGACAGAGAGACTCCGTCTTAGAATATATATATAAAATAAAAAGGAAGAAAGAAAATGATCATACTGCCAAAAGCAATCTACAAATTCAGTGCAATTCCCATCAAAATACCACCATCATTCTTCACGGAACTATAACAAACAAACCTAAAATTCATATTTAAAATTAAAAAAAAGCCCACATAGCCAAAGCAAGACTAAGCAAAAAGAACAAATCTGGAGGCATCACAGTACCTGATTTAAAACTATACTATGAGGCCATTGTCACCAAAACAGCAAGGTACTGGTATAACAATTGGCACATAGACCAATTAAACCAAATAGAGAACCGAGAAATAAACCCAAATACTTATAGCCAACTGATCTTTGACAAAGCAAACAAAAACATAAGTGGAAAAAAGACACTCTATTCAACAAATGGTGCTGAATAATTTGTTGAGATTTGTGACAGGTACAATCAGCTCAAGATGGATCAAGACTTAAATCCTTACATCTAAGACCTCTAACTATAAAAATTCTAGAAGATAACTTTGGAAAACCCCTTCTAGACACTGGCTTAGGCAAGGATTTCATGACCAAGAACCCAAAAGCAAATGCAATAAAAACAAAGATAAACAGCTGGGACTTAATTAAACTAAAGAGCTTTTGCATGGCAAAAGGAAAAGTTAGCAGAGTAAACAGACAACTCACAGAGTGGGAGAAAATTTTCAAAACCCATATATCTGACAAAGGACTAATATCCAGAATCTACAATGAACTCAAACAAATTAACAAGAAAAAAACAAACAATCCCATCAAAAAGTGGGCTAAGGACAGGAAGAGACAATTCTCAAAAGAATATACACAAGGCCGGGCACGGTGGCTCAAGCCTGTAATCCCAGCACTTTGGGAGGCCGAGGCAGGCGGATCACGAGGTCAAGAGATCGAGACCATCCTGGTGAACGTGGTGAAACCCCGTCTCTACTAAAAATACAAAAAATTAGCTGGGCATGGTGGCGTGTGCCTGTAATCCCAGCGACTCAGGAGGCTGGGGCAGGAGAATTGCCTGAACCCGGGAGGCGGAGGTTGTGGTGAGCCGAGATCGTGCCATTGCACTCCAGCCTGGGTAACAAGAGCGAAACTCCGTCTCAAAAAAAAAAAAAAAAAGAATATATACAAATAGCCAACAAACACATTAAAAAATGCTCAACATGACTAATGATCAGGGAAATGCAAATCAAAACCACAATGCGGTACCACCTTACTCCTGCAAGAATGGCCATGGTCAAAGTCAAAAAATAACAGATATTTGCATGGATGCAGTGAACAGGGAACATTTCTATACTACTGATGGTAATGTAAACTAGTACAACCACTATGGTAAACAGTGTGGAGATTCCTTAAAGAACTAAAAATAGAACTACCATTTAATCCAGCAATACCACTACTGGGTATCTGCCCAGAGGAAAACAAGTCATTATACAAAAAAGTTACTTGCACACTCATGGTTATAGTGGCACAATTCACAATGGCAAAAACGTGGAACCAACCCATATGCCCATCAATCAAGGAATGGATAAAGACACTGTGGTATATACATATGATAGAATACTACTCAGCCATAAAAGGGAATAAATGAATGGCATTCGCTGTGACCTGGATGAGACTGGAGACTATTATTCTAAGTGAAGTAACTCAGGAATGGAAAACCAAACAATTTATGTTCTCACTCATAAATGGAAGCAAAGCTATGAGGATGCAAAGGCGTAAGAATGACACAACGGACTTTGGGGACTCAGGAGGAAAGGGTGGGAAGGGAGTGAGGGATAAAAGACTACAAATTGTGTGCAGCGTATACTGCTTGGGTGGGTGCGCCAAGTGGTCACAAATCACCGCTCAAGAACTTACTCATGTAACTAAATACTACCTGTTCCCCAACAACCGATGGAAATAAAAAAATTTTTAAAAAGAATTTTAAAAATCTCTAATAAGCAAGATAGGGTGGTAGTGGCATAAGGTTAGACACAAAGACTAATGAAAAGGATGTCCAGAAATAAAACCTTAGATTTACAGTCAACTGATTTTCAATGAAAGTGTCAAGAAAATTCAATGGAGAAAGAGTCTTTTCAACAAATGGTACTGGGAAAACTGAAGAGCCACATGCAAAGGCTGAATCTGTGCCTTATCTCATCCCATATACAAAAAAACTCTAAATGGATCACAGATCTAAATGTAAGAACTAAAACCATAAAACTCTTAGAATAGGCCAGGCAGCAGTGGCTCATGCCTGTAATCCCAGGACTTTGGGAGGCCAAGGCGGGTGGATTACCTGAGATCAGGGGTTCGAGACCAGCCTGGCCAACATGGTAAAATCCTGACTCTACTAAAAATACAAAAAATCAGTCAGGAGTGTTGGTGGGCACCTGTAATCCCAGCTACTCAGGAGGCTGAGGCAGGAGAATTGCTTGAACTCGGGAGGTAAAGGTTGCAGTGAGCCAAGATCGTGCCATTGCACTCCAGCCTGGGCAACAAGAGANAAAAAAAAAAAAAAAAAAAAAAAAAAAAAAAAAAAAAAAAAAAAAAAAAAAAAAAAAAAAAAAACTAAAAAACCCCTCTTAGAATAAAACAGGAATAAATTTTCATAACTTGGGACAAGCAAAGCATTCTTATACACAATAACAATAAGGCTGGGCACAGTGGCTCACACCTGTAATCCCAGCACTTTGGGAGGCCAAGGCAGGCAGATCGCTGGAGCTCATGAGTTCAAGACCAGCCTGGGCAACACGGGGAAACCCCATCTCTACAAAAAGCACAAAAATTAGCTAAGCATCATGGCGAGCACCTTTAGTCCCAGCTATTCCGGGGGCTGAGGTGAGAGGATGGCTTGAGCCTGGGAGGTGGAAGTTGCAGTGAGCTGGGATCATGCCATTGTACTGGGCGACAGAGCCAGACCTTGTCTGGAAAGGGAAGAAAGAAAAGAAAAGAAGAAGAAAGGAAAGGAGGGAAAGAAAAAGGAAGAAAAGGAAGAAAAAGAAGGAAGGAGAGAAAGGAAGAACAAATTTTAAAAAATCAAGAGAGATCATCAAATTAAAAACCTTTTGTGCTTTGAAAGACACCCTCAAGAAATTTTTTTTTTTTTTTTTTGAGATGGAGTTTCGTTTTTGTTGATTAAGTCTGGAGTGCAATGGCACAATCTCGACTCACTGTAAGCTCCGCCTCCTGGGTTCAAGCGATTCTCTTGCCTCCCAAGTAGCTGGGATTACAGGCATGTGCCACCATGCCCGGCTAATTTTTTGCATGTTTTTAGTAAGATGGGGTTTCTCCATGTTAGTCAGGCTGGTCTTGAACTCCTGACATCAGGTGAACTGCCCACCTTGGCCTCACAAAGTGCTGGGATTACAGGTATAAGCCACCACCCTAAAGAAATTTTTGAAAAAATAAGACACAGATTGGGAGAAGTATAAATGATACATATTATAAGACACTTGTGTCAGAATATATAAAGAATGCTTACAGATCCAGAATAAAACACAAATAACCCAACTTTAAAATAGGCAAAAAATCTGAACAAACATTTCATCAAAGAAGATATATGAATGGCCAATAAGCACATGAAAAGATGCTCAATGTCACTAGATAATAGGGAAATACAATTTAAAACCACCATGAAATACCACATCGGAATCCCTAGAATGACTAAAACCAAAAAACAGACAAGTGTTGAGAAGGAGGTGAAGAATCTGAAACCCTAGTACACTGCAGGTGGAAGGTAAAATGGGACACCCACTCTGGAAAACAGTTTCGCAGTTTCCTAAAAAACTGATGGGAGTGCACATTGTCAACCACTTACACTGGAGGGGAGGGAAAGCCTTAAAATTTTGTTTTTAGCTCTCCTATCAAAATCAGACACTAGGAAAATGGGCTTCTTTTGTGGTGTGAAGACAACAAACAAAACCCATCACTGTTTACTAACCTGGTCGGCTCTTAACTGGGTCGAACCATCAGTATACATTAGAGTTACCACCAGGGCTGCTGCCTGTTTGAGCATTTCAGTCAGCTGGCTTTTTGCCCAATCATCCAAATACCTAATGTCACAAAAATGTTTTTTTAACGCTCCTGAGTTCCCAGAATTCAGGTAGGCTTCAGCCTCATCAGTATCTTCCAATGCCATTTGTTTACTTATTTTCTCTGATGAATTATTAGATGTAATATGTTTTCTTTTAAAATTAATGCTTCCTTTATTTTCATTATTTATATTCTCTGTTAGGAAATACATTATTTTATGTTCCTTTTTCTGTAGAACTGAAGCCTCTCGATTATACTGTGGAGTTAAACAACTGGAAAGAGTCAATGAGCTGATGCTCTTCTGTTTTTGGTCGATTGACAGCAGCTGATCTGTGAGCCTGACACCAAAGGCCTGAGGAGAGAGCTTGGTGGAACCTCTTGATGTCTGACTTGCTAAAGATTTAAGATTCTACAGAAAAATGGAAAATATTTCATTAGAATATGGACTCATAGGACAGAGCTATAAACCAAACTAATTTTTGATAAAACTTGTCTAAGGTAATACAGATACAAGATCTTCATATTATCTATGATCAAACCTTCTAAGGAAACCATATAATGTCTTCTAGAGCAGTGATTTTTCTCAACAAAGGTAGGCATGCATATCTGGATCAAGAGCGCAAAAGCTGGCCAGGCATGGTGGCTCATGTCTGTAATCCCAGCACTTTGGGAGGTGGGTGAATCACCTGAGGTCAGGAGTTTGAGACAAGCCTGGCCAACACAGTGAAACCTGTCTCTACTAAAAATACAAAAATTAGCCAGGTGTGGTGACAGGCATCTGTAATCCCAGCTACTCAGGAGGCTGAGGCAAGAAAATCACTTGAATCTGGGACGCGGAGGCTGCAGTAAGCCAACATCACACCATTGCATTCCAGCCTGGGCTAGAAGAGCGAAACTCCATCTCAAAAAAAAAAAAAAGCTCAAAAGCCTCCAACCAGCCCCTGTTCTGTGAATCATGCATGTAATGAGAGATGTCATGGATAGGAGTATGTTACATATGTGCATAAAAGAGAAGATTAATAATTTACAACTTCCAAATAAAGGCCATTTATAGAGAAAATGAAATCACCAAAACTATTCAATAATCTGTTAATCTATCTACTAAAATTTTTGGGGGGGACCGGGTACAATAGCTCACGCCTGTAATCCCATCACTTTGGGAGGCCGAGGCTGGCAGATTATGAGATCAAGAGTTCAAGATCAGCCTGGCCAATATGGTGAAACCTCATCTCTACTAAAAATACAAAAATTAGCCGGGTGTGGTGGCACACGCCTGCAGTCCTAGCTGCTTGGGGGGCTGAGGCAGGAGAATTGCTGGAACCTAGGAGGCGGAGGTTGCAGTGAGCCAAGATCATGCCACTACGCTCCAGCCTGGGTGACAGAGTAAGACTCTGTCTCAAAAATATACAATAGTAATAATAATAATAAAAGTGATGATTGTGGATGTCAAGTTGCCAAAGCGCAATAATTTCCATGAATATATTTTAAATGGTAATGTAACAGTAAAAATGTCAATATTAACGGTATAGCAGAAATCATGTACTTTGCAATTTTTTTTTTGAGATAGAGTCTCGCTCTGTCCCCAGGTGCCAGGCTGGAGTGCAGTGGCACAATCTCAGCTCACTGCAACCTCCACCTCCTGGGTTCAAGCAATTCTCCTGCCTCAGCCTCCCAAATAGCTGGGACTACAGGCATATGCCACCATGCCCAGCTAATTTTTGTATTATTTAGTAGAGATGGAGTTTTACCATGTTGGCCAGGATGGTCTCGATCTCTTGACCTCAGGTGATCCACCTGCCTCAGCCTCCCAAAGTGCTGAGATTACAGGCGTGAGCCACCACACCCTGCCACTTTGCAATTTTTTAAACTTGTGACAAAGATTTTAAATTTCAACTTTAAAATATGTCAGGCAATATATATATAGTTCAAGAAGGCCAGGTATGGGGGCTCATGCCTGTAATCTCAGCACTTTGGGAGGCCAAGGTGGGAGGATCGCTTGAGCCCAGGAGTTTGAGACCAGCCCGGACAACATGGTGAAACTCTGGTCTCTACCAAAAATACAAAAATTAGCTGGGCATGATCCTGTGTGCCTGTAGTCTCAGCTACTCAGGAGGCTGAGGCGGGAGGATCACTTGAGTCTAGGAGGTAAACACTGCAGTGAGCTGTGATCACACCACTGCACTCCAGACTGGGTGACAGAGTGAGGGCCTGTCTCAAACATACAAAAGAACAACAACAATAACAAAAAGACTCACAAAATTCTTTTGAGAGCAAGGGAGCAAAAGTTTACAGACCCCTGCCTTTGGGATCCAAGGAACACAGTTTGTTTACTGCTGAGAGATACAATTTCCATTCACTTACAGAGAAGAAGAGAAGACTCTCTTCTCTGTGGAAGATGCCTCTTCCCTCTACTCCAAGGGCAGATAATCATCCTACGAACCCAGGGGCAAATAATCGTCCCATCAACCCAAGAGACAGGTCCTAGTATTTCACTTTATTATAGGGAGTTTAGGTTTAAATTTAGTTAGGTTGGGACTTGAACACACATAGTTTACTCCAAAGTTCATTTTCTTAACCACTATGTTGCCTCCACCACTTTCATACACAAGGCCTTTGGTGATATGGCCTCTTCCATCTCCTCTCTAGCCCATACCACATAACTCACCCATTGTGAATGTTATATTCCTGCCTTTCGGAACTTCTATCGCTTCTACTACCCCAAAGTTCCAAGCTTTCTTCCCCTGATCTGAAAATTTTCTCAATGTCCTGCCCCTTCTCCCTTAAAGGTGGAAATCTGTTTATTTTTTTTAGAGACATAGTCTTGCTCTGTTGCTCAGGCTGGAGTGCTGTGGTGCAATCACAGCTCACTGCAGCCTCAAACTCCTTGGCTGAAGTGATCCTCCAGCCTTAGCCTCTTGAGTAGCTGGAACTACAGGAGCATGCCAACATGCCCAGTTAATTTTTTGGGGGGGTACTATTTGTAGAGACAGGATCTCCTTATGTTGCCCAAGCTGGTCTCAAATTCCTGGACTCAAGTGATCCACCCACCTCAGCCTCCCAAAGTGCTGGGACACATCCAGCCTAGGTTGACCAACTCCTAATCATCCAATAGATCTCAACTCAGATATAATTTTCATACTTCAGAAAGATATCCAATATCCCTGATTCTCCTCCTCAACACCCAGAAGAGTAAAATGAAATAGCACAAAAACTGAGTTAGATGTCCCTCCAATTGTCCCCAGAGCACTCTGAACTTACTTCTCTAACGGCACTTACTTTGTTTCGTAGACATCTATCCTATTTCACTGTCTTGCCCTTCCCTGCATCCAAATTAAATTATAAGCTCCTGGAGAGCAAGAACTCCTCTTTTTTAACTGTTGTATCTACAGTGCCTAGTACATCGTAGGACACTTAACAAGTGCCTGCTGAACAAATAAGGTTTAAAATTACTCATATTTGCAATGATTTACCTTTTCTTCTGATTGATTCTTCCCATCTTCAAGTTGTACTGAATACTTAACACTGGACTTGTTTATCACTTCCATAGCTTTTAAAACAACAAAAAACAAACATGGGGCATTAAAGAAACATTGAAACCAAGGTCATACAGTTAACTAAACACTGAAATATCCTCTATAATCATGCTTATTTACTCATTATTAACTTAATTAAAACAACGTAATAAAATTCACAACTAAAATGCTTAGTACCATTGCAATAAATATTTACGTAAAGAACCTTCAAGTTAACTGCAGATCTATATAATCACAAAATGTTTATTAAAAATCATTATTTGGCATTTGCATTTGAATACATAACTCTAAAAACCTAAGGTCAACATTTATAGAAACCTTAAAAGTATTAAAGGTTTAGGGAGATTCTTTGAATACTGCAGTGGAACAATTAAAGTTTCAGTAAAACATCATTAATATAAACTTCTAACTTAGATTTTGTTTTAATTTTAATAAGCCTGGGCTGAACAGTAAGTGACAGAACCAGGATTCAACCCCAGGCAGTATGATTTGGGAGTCTGTACTCTTAACCACTGTGACATACATTTCCCCTGCAGGAACAATAACAACCTAGAAATGCAAACAGGGGAAAGTATTTCACTTACAATATAAAAACATTACACTTAGGATAAATATAACAGAAAAGATACAAGGCCCTTAACGATGAAAACGTAAAATTTTATTAAATGGCATAAAACAAGATCTGTAAAATGAGAAGACATAGCATTAGGATATATATCACAAAATGTTTAATTCTTCCAAATTTAAGACAATTCCAATTGGAGACCCTACAGGGATATTTTAACTTAATGAAACAATTTCAAAGTAAAAAGAGACAAGAAATGTAAGTTTTAAAAAAAGAGAGAGAAAAGACCTCTAGAACAGAACAGACAACCCAGAGACTGATCCCAAGACTACATATAACAAAGATAGTATTTCAATTCAATAGAAAAGGACATATTAATTAATAGGGCTGGTACAACTAGCACCACATCAAAAAGAAAAGAAATGCATTGGGAAAACTATTTGGAACCAAAGTGACTAAGGATTAATTGCTATATTATGCAACAAATTCTTATACATTTACAAGGTAAGACAAACAACTCAACAGAAAAACAAGCAAAGGATAGGAAGAAGCAATACACAAAATAGAAAATCCAAACAGGAAACAAAAACGATATTCAGGGAAATGCAAATTAACTATAACTGGAAACAGAGGGGAAGAGGTAGTCTCATGCATTGCTGGTAAAAATGTAGATAGTTAGAATCTTTCTAGAAGGCAAATTGTCAAGACTTATTAATTAACAATACATACATCACTCTTGGGAGTTGGGAGGAGAAAGTGACTCACAGGGAGCTCAAGATAGGCCTCTGGGAATGCTAGCGATGTTTCTTGAACTGGATGTAGGTTTGTGAAATTTTGACCTAAACACTTAACTTAGGGTATGTGTGTTGTTATACATTTATATATGTATCTCAGTCATACATATATGAGAGAGTGCTCTCGCCTCAACAAAAACAGATCGAAAATAATATCAATCATCTTAACCAAATAATCTCTAACCAAACAATCTCACTCTTAGCTGTTTCGCAGAAATATATCCAACAGTAAACAGGTTTAAATCAAAACGTTTCAGTCCTTTGTCCATTACGACAAAGGACTGAAAATAGATACCAATCAGAAGAAAACTGAGAATTAAATTACATACTATCCACTAAAAAGAATGACCTTGTTAAAACATAGATTGCTGGGGGGGGGAAATGACTCCCAATTATAGGTTGGCTGAAGGCGATGACCTCATTTTAAGAAATAATGACCAAATCTCCCCATTTATGCACATGAAGATGTTAGGCACATACACTGGCACAGGTTGGGTCCCCTGGGAGACCACTTCTGTGATGAAGGCTTGCATTTGAAAAGGTGATTGGAGAGTGAAGGAAGCAGAACCTAACCAAGGACGACAATGGCTAGGATGTAGCCACTCAAAGGCCTGCCCTGGGCAGAGCATGGTCCTGCACAGGTGTCTCCCACTGGGGAAAGGGAGCTGGGCTTTTATACCCCAGCACAAACTAGTCACTGGACCAGTCATTCCTGGGGAAGTGGTGGGCCCATGGGCAAGGAAGCTCTTTGCAGCCAGGCAATCAAGGGGAGGGGTTGTCCCAGGAGCAGGGACAGTGCTTCAGTACTAAAGGGGGAATATGGCTGCCACAGCGCTTACTACAGTCCACACTGCACTGCTCATGGCCACTTGCTTCAGAGACATTCTGGGAGCAGTCTGGCAGGATTCTGGTGGGCCTTTTCCTGGGGAAATTTATAAAAGGAAGGTACTGGGATAAACTACATCTTGTTGCTGCAGCTGGCTTCGAGGTTGCAAATTTCATTCATCTCCTTCCTCTACTGCCCATGCTAGGGTCTCCTCACCCTTGCCTATCTCCTCTACTGATCTATGTAGCTTAGCTTACCTGATCAGATAACCCAAACTCTCATCCCTGAGAGGTAAACCCCGGCCACCATGCCCTTCTCTGGCCATAGGTCCTGCATTTGCCATCAAATGTGGGCAGGAGACCATGAGGTGGCCAACCACATTACCTGGGTGCTTCCCCTGCCCCCAGTTATGTAGTAGCAGCTCTACCTCCTCCTGGTGCCCACGGTCAGTCACCCTAGAAGATGGAAATTACATTCCTTTCCAGCCAGTTTCTTGGCACAAGGAGCTCGAAATGACCAGGCAGCAGCCACAGCTGGAAATTAAGTGGCATTCTTCCTGTGCCCCTGCTGGAAAGGTTTTCCCTTTGAGAGTCAAGACCTTTAAACCTTAAGAACCCAGAGGCATGTGGGGTAGAAATACAGATTTCTAAGTGGGTCACTGGGAGTGATGACTTTGACATTTTTGTTCCCAGACCCATTTATTACACAAACCGAGGACACTGCACCACGTAGTGGTCAGTGATCTGCAGTGCAGACTACACCCCAGAGGTGACTGCTTCATCGCAGGTGTCACCTCCAGGCTACACATGAGGTGAGCTGGGCCTTCCACAGACCATCCTGCTGTTCCATCAGGTTGGCAGCTTCTTGGTGTGCAGCTGTGAGGCAGCCAGTGGCTCCCCCTCCCAGTGCCCACTGGCGCAGTTCCTTGGCCATGTGCAGGATCCTGTGGATCAAACGCTCTGTGAAACTTGGATGATGGAGCTGACTGAATCCATGAGAATGGGAAAGGCACACCCATGCCTGTAACACGTGTTGGTTCCAGCCAAGATGAATCACTGTACCTTCTACGGCATAAGGGGTTCAATGTTGTCAAATGACTGTTTCCCTCCAAGGAAGCTGCAACTGGGGACTCAGTGTTTGGTCTCTGTTGTTGGAAGACTGGATGTTCGGCAGAGAAATAGCTAGGTGAGCTCTGGTAAGGGGGAGCACCATGCTATGGGCCATGCATAGCCTCTACCCACCCCATGGTTACTCCATGAGAGAGCCCAGTGTGCCAGGACGGGCACAGGAGATGGCAGAGGCTAGTAATGTCAGTCGGCCAAGCCATCCCATGAATGTGGTTTGGCATGTCCTCATGGTGAATGTTCTTGGGTGGGAGGTACTTCATGTTGCCAAAGATCCCTCCACACGCCTTACTCCAGGAAGTCCCTCATCTTCCCATCTTCCTTATTGCAGGTACCTGAGCAACCTGTCAAGCCACTAACCATTGCCCAAGAGTTCCAAATGTGTTAACATTGGGGCCACTACTCCTTCCACATGAAGTAGGTAGTCAAGGGTACCACCCAAAGTTCTACCTATTGGGTTTTCCCTGAGCACTGTCTTCCAGGGCTGCTTAAATCAGGCTGTTCAGAGCCTACTCACCATGAACCAAGCTCGAACTTTCCTGCCTCCACCAGCTGGTCTTCAGGCTGCCCCTTTAGAAGTACCAGTGCCAGCACCGATGATGTCATGGGCTGTGGGCCACACAAGAAGCTTGGTTGTTTGTGCCTGCTTGTAGGTAATACTAAATGGGCCACTTCCAACTTGCAATGAACAGCTGCACACTCACCTCTTGGTGGGTCTGACAGGACCAGCTCATGCTGGCAGTTCTGGCTCATGGTCACTTGATATCACCATGGCCTCATGCTCCATCTCTACAGGAGCCAGTAGCATGACAGCTTTGTTTATTTATAATTTTCTGCAGATGGCATTGCCATGGTCCAGAGTTCTAGGAGTTTGCCTTGAGCTTCACATTGCATCTTTTCCCACTACAGATGCCTCTAACATCACAAGGCCCATTGGGCTAGAAGTCTAAGTACCTGGGCCACTTGCTTCACAGCCTAGGCCTCTTACAGGATGCTTTCCTATGCAGTCAGTATTCCCAAATGTGGAATATGCTGCCTCCACTCCCCAAACCCAGAGATGCCTATCAGGTGTCATGCTTCATTCTTAACCGTCAATGTGATTAACCACGTTGCAGGATGATTTTGCCAGTTGGCATCGTCATTCTTTAAAATGCAGTAATTTAGCCAGGTGTGCACTTGTAGCTCCAGCTACTCAGGAGATTGAAGCAGATCACTTTGCCCCAAAGAGCTTGAGGCTAGCCTGGACAACACAGTGAGATAGTCTCTTTAAAAAAAAAAAAAAAGGCACTAACTTGTCCTTTACTTGCAAGCGGTCATCCTACATACCCCCAGACCACCGGAACTTCCAAAAACTTCATGGTTGTGGTGGGGCCCAGAATATCTGTGAGTTTATCTCCCATGTGTTGGACAGCAAGACATCTAACAAACTTGCCATTTCTTGCTTATGCTGTCTGATTGGCATGATGGCATCAAAACAGTGGGTGGCTGGATAACATAGCCCTGGGGCAAGGTGCAAATTTATATTGTCCATTCAGAGTGAATACTTCTGCAGGGATGGCAAAGAATATGTTCACCAAATTGATAACTGCATTTCATACACCTGAGGCCTTGTTAATTGCATATGCCATATCCAGCCCAGCAGCTGTCATTAGGGCTATAACTTGGTCATAACTATTTGTGGTGTCAATTGTTATTCTGTAGGATC